CAGTTTTTTCATCCAATATATCTGAACTTTCCACCATTCTCTCTCCCCACCTGCCATCAAGGTCCTTCTTTATCATTTATTTCATGAATAATAGAACACAATGCAACCCTGTGATAGACACTGAAGATTGGAAACCCAAAGTCCTTTACAACATCCTGTTGCCTTGCCTTTTTCTACATTTCTTTGGGCTGAGCCTGGCCCAAGACTCACCAGCTCTTCTCTAATCCATGTTCATCAAGTGATGCTTGATTATTAATTCATTGCCACCAATACTAGAGACTGGTACTGAAAAAGAATGACCCAGAAAAGGAATATATTTTTATACAGCAGACTCTTAAGAGTTTAGCTGGTAGTGGTCTCACTAAGCAGGATGAATCCTGGGATCCTATCAAGATTGTGTTTCTTCCCTGAAATGCTGAGGACCAGACTCTGGACTCATGCTGATCACTCACTTGACCAGTTTCTCTAGGCAACACCATGGCTTACTCATCTTGCCCTTTCTATCAATATCATGTCACAGTGCACCTCCACTGGAGATGGACAAGACCCCACATGGAAGTAGAACACAGTCCAGCCAGGTACACATAGTTTCTCTAAATTCCTGTCCTACAACATACTCTAGTAGTGCTGGTCAGGCTGTCCATCACCTAGTCCACTTCCCTCAGATTTGTTTCTGAAGTTCTGGCTCCTGATTTTTACATTCACCCCCCTGTTGATTTCCCCCATTGTTTCCATTAGATTTAACCTTGGCTGACTCCAAATCTCAGGGTAACACCAGTCCTACATCAGCTCATCCGCCTCTACCCTAAAGCTGAACAGAAAGGCTGCTCCCGTCACAGGGCTGCCCTGGTCTTACGGACCAGACTTACACTCATAGAACTATCCTGGGCACACTCATGTCAGAAGAGGCACAAGCAGACTAGATTCAGCTGGGTATATGGAGATCTCAGCAATTTCCAGAAATGCTGGCCATGCTATATCTCAGGAGTTTGAGTTCAGTAAGTAGACAGGGAAGCATTCAGCAGGACTCGTGATTTCCCTGGGAAGTCCTGAGAATCTAGCTGCTTCAGTAAGTAGCCTCTGCGAGCTGAGGCTTTTCATACTTGGCAGCACAGAACCACCCTGTCAGCGTGCCGGTTTCTGCAGCAGAGATTGCAAAGGGGTGAACTCTGCACAGTGGCTGTGAGGAATCTAGTGCACAACCAAGTCACACCAGCTCGACATGTTCCCTTTAAATGCTTACTATTTTGAGCTCAGTACTGGAGCTGAGCAAGCCTGAGTTTGAATACCAGCCCTGGACTTAATGAGTCTCAGTTTCCTTAACCATGCAATAACAACAGGTTATACCTCCCCTGAGAGAAATTTGGCAAGATGCCTCACATGCATATCTCCAGGCCCAGTGGCACTGGCCAATGTTAGTGATGATTCCTCTCCTGAAATCCTGATTCAGACCTGAGGCAGAATCTCCAGGATCCAAACTCTGCTTCACCTGTGTACTCAAAGCCACCTTGCCCTGTGGCCTCTGGGTGCTGTGGGGATCTGATTACAGTTTCTGCACAAAACTGACCAAACTCTTGGAATCACTCACGTGATGAGTGTCTGAAGTGACATGCTAGTGAGATCATCTTTGGGGAGTTGCGGGGCCAGAAGGTGCTAAATAGCTTCAGATGGGCACTGGTTTTTACCAGAAAAACCAACCAAGTGTTTAAAAGAGGGTTAGAACTTTCATTTTCACACCATGACTTCAGGGGAGGGGATGATTGAATCCAATCACCAATGGTCAGTGATTTAATTAATCATGCCTACCTAATGAAACTTTGATTAAAACCCCCTGAAGGACAGGTTCCATTAGCTTCCACGTTGATGAGTACATTCATGTGCTGAGAAGATGACACGACAGCAAAGCGCGCAGAAGCTCTGCTCCAATCCCCATTCCCTCTCCCAACCCCTATCCCCCCATAACTCTCCAAATGTATCCTTCCATTTGACTGTCCCTCACTTAAATCCTTTATAGTGACCCTGGAAGTGAAAATAAAGTGCTTTCCTGACTTCTGTGAGCCATTTGAGCAAATTATCAAAACTATAATTTTGTCGTCAGCACGCAAAGTGTGGGTAACCTGGGCACCCCATTTTTACCCAGTGTTTGAAGTGGAGGCAGTTTTGTGGAACTGAGCCCGTTAACTTGTAGGGCCACACCCTAACTGGAAGTAGATGGTGTCAACATTGAACTGAATTATTGCGCACCATAGAACTGGTTGGTGTGTGGAAAACTACACACATGTAGTGTCAGAAGTGGTGTCGAAAAAAACCACTGCACAGAGGCTTTGTCACATTTTGCCTCCTCGTGACTTCACCTGGCCCTTGTACAACCACATTTCTTTATAGAATGTGGTTAAGCCCAGAAGAAACGGCCAATTCAGCTGCAATTCTATGACCTAAATTTAGTATTAACTTTTGAAAATGAGTAGAAATGGCGCCTGCATTGTTTCTATTCAAGCTGACTTAAGGAAGGGCATGACTTGCCTACATGCCTCTAACCCAGTGTCTATAATCCACACCACACCCAGGACAGTCTCCAACAAGCCAGGGAGCAAAGGCTGCTCTATAATAAAGCTGTCTCATGAGAACCTATTTTCTGGCATCATCTTATGGACTCACTGATTGCCTTGACTTTGACTGAACACTGTATCCTCTCACTCCCCCCGCCAGCTGCTGCTTAACCTTTTGAACCTGGTTAGAAGGTGCCTGTCGTATAAGCTAGAGTCTTTGCCCTACTTCTTTGCTATTTATCAGGGCTTTTCCTCATGCCCCAGAGTTGGTACAATAAACTTATTTAGTCATTGCCACTAGGATAGACCCCAGGAGTACAGCCAAAGCTTTGCTGATAAGCTTTCTTATCTTACCGTGAGTTTCCAGCTATGTTGCTGTGCCAGCATTGGTTGTTAAAATGCCAACCGCTCCCCTTCCTTGTCTTCTCTCTGTCCCACTAAAGCCACCCAGTTTCATCAATCAATGTCCATCTTCGTAGACCTAGTAGCAGACTAGAAATCATTCAAAGGTTAAGATATTCTTAGTCTTTTTAAAAATATGTAGTAATGTTTAACAGTGAATTTCTCTGCTAGGACGCTGTTCAGGCCAAAGTTAACCTGGTCAATGATTATCTTGCCCGCACACAGAGAGGGAGACTATAAGAGATGACACAAAATCAAGGGACATGACTAAGGCCCAATCTGTTGTAGAAGACCAAGTGGAATGAACAGGCCAAGCGCTTCTATTTTGCAGCTCAAGTCATCCAAGAAAAGGAAGCTTCCCTGGGACTAGAGGACTATAATGTAGGAAGGACTTGCTAGCTGCAAGTTCATCCCCAGGGACCTGAACTGGATAGTTAGTGACCTAGGCAGATCCCAGTGTCTTGACCCCAGGAAATTCTGTACTGTAACTATCCTGGGTCAACACTGACTCCTGGAAACCTCTTTCTCCAACTCTGGCTCAGTCTCCTCCCCCATGACACAAACAGGCCATATCCCGTACTGACTCACTAGGGTTTCTCCACATCTGACATGGAAGCTAGCTCTCGAATGAGGATTGGGAGGACAGCCATAGCATGGGCTCTTCCTCTATTGATGAAGCCATCAACATCCAAATGGCTCCCATGCTGTACCACCCAACTTCTATAATGTCCCTCTCCAACAAGAGCTCTTTCAGACCTTGCCATTTGATCTTTGGAGTCTCTAGCTCAATACTGACAAATACACCATCATCTGAAGTAAAATTCCTATCTTTTTCCAGATTCCTGGAAATCACCCGATTCCTTTGTGGTCTCAGCTTGGACAGTGCCCGAAGTATATTTAATACATACAGTCTCAGCCCAGATGTGTGCCAATAGGCTATGAAGGGAAGTAGTGTATGGAACTTTCAGGAAGTGTCCTTAAAAAAAAGGGCCTGTCCCTTCCTCAATGTCCTTGCACCTTGTCTCCTCTCCTCTATCCTGCTGCTCTAAATGTGGACCTCAAGTTGTGCCTTACAGATGGGGAAGCCACAAGTTAGAGGGAGCATAAGTCCCAGATCACCACATTGAACAGAACCTAACCGTGACCACCTGTGGAGAGAAGCAATCCACAAGCAATCCACCGCCCTGAGCAAGCTTGAACATCATTTGGGGTATGCCAATAAAGCAAGGTCTTTACTGCTATTTAGCCAACCATATCTCATAGCTGAGTTTACAATAAGCAGGCTCAAAGGATGAGGGAACATCTCTCAGACAAAGAACAGACTTGCTAACAAGTACTATTTCAGTTGTATGCAAACCCACTAAATAAATTTTTAGTGTCTACTTCTGTCCCCCTGTATTGCCTCCATCAGTCCTGGGGACCATGGGGAACCAGCACATGATGCCCATGCTCCTTGCTATGCAGTAACATCATCCTTCACCTCAAACTGAGCAATCCTGTGTCTTCAGCCAGCATCCCTGAAACAGTAATTATCAGCTTGCAAGCAGGGTAAAATCCCAGAACCTGACATACTTAACTGTAGACTGTTTTTAGGAAAGAAGTTTTATCGCTCACTCTTAAGTGACTGTAATTTTGTGTCTGTTACAGGCAGCCAAACCTAATCTTAGCTAATGAAAGTGTAACTTTTCAAAGTTGTGATTCGGCAATAAAAAATGCCTATTGTAGCCTGTGAAAAATTTATCCTCAACCTGAACTAATTATGATCCATTCAAATCAAGAAATTATAAAAATTTTATGAATTTTATGCTCCTTGGGGTCTCTTGAACAAGTTCCACATAGAAATTAAGATTACATTAATTGCAGTTTACATGGTCAAAAGATATCAAAGGCACAGAATCAGAGGTTACTGTATCAGACTGGCAAAATCATAAATGGATTCTCCACATTTATTTGAGTAAGATGATTTTTAAATATTGTATTCATGTTACTTTCTGTTAAGAATTATACTCACCCATACTTTTTGATTTAAGATTCCATGAGTAATAGATCCAGATAAACTTGGAGAGCAGCTTCCTGTTCTGGTTTATTCTCAAACAAAGAAGAGATGAATCTGGTTCAGGTAAGGCTAGATCTGCACTAACATTCTTTCTAGAACATTGGCAGCTCTTGTCCTTTGGAAAAAAGCAGGGGATTTGGAAATGTTGGGAAAGATTCAAGCAAGGTTGCATTACTACCATATTAGTTAAGATAACCAAGGAAGACAAAGATGAAAGAATAGAAGTAAAGATGTGGCAACACCTGTTACCGAACCACTGACAAAATGTTGAAAGCTCTTTGTGAGACACAGAAACTTTGATGTCAAAATATGCTAAATTGCTTGATCTTTCTATAACAATTCCCAGTGCAGTTATTTCTTATTTCTAATTTCTAACACATTTGCAATTCTCAGGTGAGATTAGCACCCCTCCCTTTTTTTTCTTTGTCCTTGGTGGATACATATTGTTTTTGCCCACTCAGTATCCATTCTCACTTTGGGAACAGCATCTATATTTTCCCTTGTGCCCCTTCCTCTGCTCATTTGTTGGGTGAGGCTGACTCTACCTTAGAAGCACCTGGTAATTGGGTCAGAAGGTCATATGATCCAGAGAGATTGAATACTGGTATTTTTTTTTTTTTAAGATTTATTTATTTATTTATACAAGCACTGGGTACAGTCAGAAGCACGGGAGGGTGAGAGAATTCACCAGAGCCAGAGCGGGGAGCAGAGCAGGCAGAAGGACCAAAGTACACTGCTGAGGGGAGCAGCGGGCGGCAGGAGAGGTCTGTGCACCATGTGGGATCTTCGCCGGTGGCCGGGGATCGAACTGGCGCTGCAGAGGCTGCGGGCAGCTTTGCAACTCAGCGCTCAACCGCTGCACCACCGGGGAGGCCCCAATACTGGTATTTTAATATTAGGTTTCTTGATTTTGATACTTATACTGTGGTTAGTAAGAAAATAACAATTTTCTTAGAGGCTATATGCTGAAGTATACAGGAGTAAAGGGTTATGACCCCAACAATGTGCTCAACTCACCCAGGAAAAAACAAGTGAGTTGAACAGATCACAAGCATAGAAATTGAAACAATAATAAAATATCTTGCAAGGCACAAAGCCCAGGACCAGACCCCTTTACATGTGAATTTTTTCAAGCCTTTAAAGAAAAACTAATGTCCATCTTGCTCGAATTGTTTTTTAAATTACAAGATGAAGAAATGCTCCTTTATACTTTCTACAGTGCCAACATTACCCTAATACTGAATCCAGACAAAGACAGCAGAAGAAAATTATAGACAATATCCCTGATAAGTATAGATGTAAAATTATTCAATGTAATACTAGAAAATTGAATTCAAGAATGTAATGCAAGGATTATATACCATGATTTATCCCAGGGATGTAAGGATGGTATAACATATGTAAGTCAATCAATGTAATACAGCATATCAGCAAAAGTAAAGATAAAACTCATGATACTAGCAATAGATGCAGAGGAAGTGTTTAATAAGATTAAGCACCAATTTATGATTAAAATCTCTAAACAAGGTGGAAATAGAAGGAAATTACCTCACCATAATAAATATCATATATCAAAAACTAACATCCAATATAATACTTAATGGTGAAAAACTGAAAGCATTCCCCTTAAGATCAGGGGTGCCCATCACTGCCACTACTATTAAACTCAGTATCAGAGGTTTTGGCCAGACTTATCAGACAAAAACAAGAACTAAAAGGAGCTCAAGTTGGAACAGTAGATGTGACACTATCATTATTTGCAGATCATTTAATATTAGATATAGAGTACCTTACAGACTCCACTAAAAAGTTTTTAGAAACAACAGATGAACACAGCAAAGTGGCAGGTTAAATATCAGCACACAAAAAAACCACAGCCTTTTTATATGTAAATAACAAATAAGAAGCAAAAGAAATTAAGAAAATAACTCCATGTATAGTTATTTCAAAAAGAATTTAATACATCAGAATTAACTTCCAACAAGTGTTTAATGTGTTTGATGTGACCTAATTACAGAAACTGACTTTTTTTTTAAACTTGAAATTACCATAAAAATTAGAAGAAAAATATTTTACATTGGTTTGGAATTTACAGGGGGCTTAGGAATCCAGATTCTCAACTGGCCGCAATTCTTGGCAGCATATAAGGAAATGGCTAAAAGTTCCTATCTCTGTAGCCATGTTGCCCTGAGTCAAATTTTGGTGTCCTGACTCTATATGCTACCTTGAACAAGTTACTTAATCTCTTTAAGTATCAGTTTCAGTATCAGATAATAGTACTTCACTCATAGGAGTACTTATAATGGGGCCAAATAAAATTTTAGCACTTTATGATTATTATTTATCATTCAATAAATAACCATTGATGAGCCGGTTATGTGATATCATTCCCATTTCATAGACTAAGAAACATAGGTTAAGCATAGTTGAACAAACTGTCTACTCAGTAAATCCTGGTGCTTCTTAAACTCAAGTCCCTGACATCAGAGTCAATTCTCCACTACAGTGTTGTACATATAAATGTATCAAGTATTCGTTCAAGCTCATCTCTGGGCTTGATGGTAGAGAATTCTGAAATAATTCCATTCTGGGGGATCAATTTTGGGTAACCCTGAAATTTCAATTGCCTAGAAGCCAGTCCTAGCACTTTGTTTTATTTAAAATTGGCCATAAATTTTTAAATTTACAGACATTTTTGTGGAGACTAGAGATGAGCATTATATCACTTTAGACTATAAACTCTTTGGTGGCAAGGATCATGTTTTGCTAAATGTATAACCAGTAGTTAATACAGACAGTATTTAGCACAAACTCATTGTATATTTGAAGAATGAAAAGCACATCATAGAGTAACGTTTAATCCAGTTCACTTAATAACTTCTCACATACCTCCCATAATACCTTGTCCAATAGCTGCTCTAAAATTGTTTATGAAAGAGTGGAATTGAACTGTGAAGAATTCTACCTCTTGTGAACTTGATGTGATTCTTCCAACTATTCCTGACTGCCAGATCTACGCCATTTTCATGTAAAACCAAATACAGTGATGTCTGGGTTACAAAAAAAATATGTAAGTCAAAATATTTTTGTATCAATAATTTTATTAAATGTAAATGGTATGCAGCAATTAAAAAACAAAGATAGTTAGAATTGGTTTGAAAACATGACCTCACTACATGTGCTACCAGAAATTCACTTTAAATTTAACTACTTATGTAGCCTCAAAGGATGAAAAAAATGTTCATGTAAATGCAAATCAAAAGAAAATACAAGTGGCTACATTAACATCAGACAAAGTAGAATTCAAGACAAAGATACAAAGAAGGATATAACAAAATAAAAAGGGCCATTCCGCAAAAATAAATAATAATCCCAAATGTGTATGCACTAAACAATTGAATTGCAAAATATGTGAGGCAAAGTGTTAGAACTTGAAGAGAAATATACTCATTTACAACTTGTTTGGGGACTTCAACATTCTTTTTTTTTTTTAAACTGCTCTCTTTTTTTTTTTAAGATTTATTTATTTATTTATACAAGCACTGGGTACAGTCAGAAGCGTGGGAGGGTGAGAGAATTCACCAGAGCCAGAGAGGGGACCAAAGAAGGCAGGCTGAAGTACACTGCTGAGGGGAGCAGCGGGCGGCAGGAGAGGTCTGCGCGCCATGTGGGACCCTCCTTCGGTGGCCAGGGAGCAGCGGGGGATCGAACCGGTGCTGCAGAGGCTGTGGGCAGCTTCGCAACCCAGCGCTCAACTACTGTGCCACCAGGGAGGCCCCATACTTTGATTTTGTTCCTTTTGTCCCAGACTTGCCTGGCCCCTTTTACCCCTTTCTTTCTTTTTTTTTTTGTGGGACCCTCGCCCGAGGCCAGGGAACGAACCGGTGCTGCAGAGGCTGAGGGCAGCCTCTCAGCCCAGCGCTCAACTGCTGAGCCAGCAGGGGAGGCCCCCTTTTACCCCTTTCTTATGGGGCCCTGTCAGAAGGTGCCTTAGACTTGCAGCAACCTTTCAGGTCTCAGCGACCCCACTTTGGGTCAACCCTTGTTGACTGGGCACTTAACCAAGTAGGGGATAGGTACCTTTGAGTGTTTTATTGAGAAACTATTATCCTTTCTTCTCTTTATATACACATTAATTGTATTAAAGTTCTTTTACACTAAGTCTCCTTTGTATTTGTGCATATGGATGGTGAGATCCCCTTTAGAGCATGCAAGTTTAGGGGTCTCAGGGTGCCCCTCTGTCACACACTAACACAAGTAACTCCCTTTTGACTTAAATATCACAATTCCTACTTCCTCTACCTTATAACCTTACCCTCAGCCCCATCCCAAAAATAAAAATAAATATCTCAGAAAAATTGACAATCCTTCATTTTCAAAAATCACTGCCTTGCTTCTGCCCTAATCAAAATTTGGGGGTGGAATTTTTTTACTTGGATTTAAGCCTCCTTTTGATTTTTTAAGTGCATATATATTCCTCTAGTGGATCACTGTGGGACTAGGAAAATGGGGTATTTCGGTAATAAAAATCAAGGTTTATGCTCGACAGCTGATTTAGCACAAGGCAGTACTATTGGGACAATATGTTAAGCCCTTCAAAGCGAAAGGAAAATGAAATCAAGAAGGTACACCTTACAACTTAGAGAGACACCAGGCTGTTTCATTTTTTACCGAGCTGAGTTACAAGAGCTCTCCTTCTAACACTTGGCTTTGGCCACTCAGATGCATTTATTTCTTTGTGACATCATGAGCTTGGCAGAACATTGAGAACTGGAGGCTGAGAAAAGAAAAGGCGGACTTCCTGCTCACAGAAGAACCTCTAAGACATCTTTGCTAACACAGCGTTGTGACAAGGCTTATGCATGAATCAGCCATAAATGTTAAGTGGGCTGATGAGAATTGAAGAGTTTATGAGAATTTCTGATGAAGCAGCATGGCAAGGGTTATTGAATGAATGTGGTGCAGCTTGTAATTTAACTCGTCTTGGTCTCTTTTTTTAATCATACATTGTTCTTCATTGAAATCCCTTTTTTCTTTGCTATCAGAATTCCCCCTGCTTCATGAATGAGAATTGAGGCTTTGTGGTAAGAATGCTAAATATTCATTCAAACTGCACCAAATAGGGCTGAGAGACAGTTATTATGGCATATTAGCATCTGATTACAGGAACATGATACCCCCGAGCCTCCTAATTTCCTAATCAATGATTAGGAAATCATTGCACCACACTGATTCACAATCTAGCCTGCACCACAATCTAGTCTGATTTCCCTCTGAAGGACCTAGGAACCAAACCAAAAGCAGCGTCAAGGAAAGACTGGCTGAGTATGCACTTGGTTGAATAAAACAGGTCTTTGAGCTTCCAGCATCCTCCCCCTTCCCTGTCACAGTATGAGCAAGAGCTGCCAGATTTAGCAAAGAAATACACAGGCTCTTCTATTTTATCTGCCAAATCTATTAAAGCCATTAGTAGCACTATCTTAGGCCTCTGCCATCAATCTGTTGGGGGGGGGGGGAGTAATCTGAGATTAGTCAAAATCAATCCCAGATAATCTGCAACAGAACAACCTTCAGACATTGTGAAGAAGACAAGTTCTAGAGCCTTACCTTGGACCCACAGAATCAGGATATTCCAGGGATGGGCTGGGGATTTTTTTAATTTCCAAAGATAATTCGGAGGTACCCAAAGCAGGTCCATTATTAGTGACCTCTGTGTTTTTCCACTCCCAATACATACTTCAAGTTTTTTTTCTACTTGTGGAAGAAGAGATATTAAGGGTACCTGACATTTATTAGAACTTTAATAAATGTGTGTCCCCTTGGGCCCTCCCCAGTGGCGCAGCGGTTGAGCGCCGGGTTGCGAAGCTGCCTGCAGCCTCTGCAGCGCCAGTTCGATCCCCGACTGCCAGGTGAGGGTCCCACATGGCGGGCAGACCCTCCTGCCGCCCGCTCCCCTCAGCAGTGTACTTCGGTCCTTCTGCCTGCTCTGCTCCCGGCTCTGGCTCTGGTGAATTCTCTCATTCTCCCGCGCTTCTGACTGTACCCAGTGCATGTATAAATGAATAAATAAATCTTTAAAAAAAATAAAATAACACACATATTATTAAAAAAATATATATATGTGTCCCCTTAATACTTTCTTTTTTTTTTTTTTTTTTTTTTAAAGATTTATTTATTTATTTATACAAGCACTGGGTACAGTCAGAAGCGCAGGAGGGTGAGAGAATTCACCAGAGCCAGAGCGGGGAGCAGAGCAGGCAGAAGGACCGAAGTACACTGCTGAGGGGAGCAGCGGGCGGCAGGAGAGGTCTGCGCGCCATGTGGGACCCTCCTCCGGTGGCCGGGGAGCAGCCGGGGATCGAACCGGCGCTGCAGAGGCTGCGGGCAGCTTCGCAACCCAGCGCTCAACCGCTGCGCCACCGGGGAGGCCCCCCTTAATACTTTCTTAAATGAACTTTGGATTTCTGGAACAACAGGGATTAAAGAGCAAGGTCCTTTTCCAGAAAGTCCTCTGGAGGAAGAAAGACAGGGGGAGGCAACCGCTGGCCCCCAATCAGACATCCCTCTCCAGGCTGCTGCTCCAAACCTGTCCAAGGCTTCACCCCGTGGGACAAACAGAATGGATCTTCAGGCAGCATACAGGTAAAGAGCAATTACGTACCCCTGCCCTAAACTACCTCTGTACTTTAAAATCCTCTGGATCAGAGGGGAATTCTCCCCATAGACGCACTGTCCCTGATTCCACGCTCTGCATATTCCAGCACTTTATCTGAAAGTCAGACATTAGTGAACATGTTGAGAAGCTCAGGCAATAGAAACTGGTAGAGAATACTGCAAATCAGGATTTGGGTTTAGAAAGACTACAGACCCCAAAATGCAATGTTACCTCCCCAAAACTACTACTCCCAAAATGCAATGCAGCCAGGCTTTGCCAAAGAAAAGAACCACAAACCAGGCTGGAAATTTTGCCTTCGTGTCACCCGCAGGCAAAGGAATGATTTGGAAAGGCCCCAGAGAATATATTTTTGCAGGAGTGGTCACTCCCTAGATCCCGGCGTGGAAGGGGAGGGGTCTGATCCTTGTCCCGCCCTTTCTCCAATAGACTGATCGCTCCCGGCTTGGCGGCAGGAGTTGGAAGTCCCCGGAGTTGCCTGTGCCCTCTTAACTTTCCAAATGGTTTCGGTGACCAGGGCCGTGTTTGGAGACCTGCCCTCAGGGGCAGGAACAGTGGAGAAGTTCCAGCTGCAATCAGACCTGCTGAGAGTGGACATCATCTCCTGGGGCTGCACCATTACGGCTCTGGAGGTCAAAGACAGGCAGGGCAGAGCCTCTGATGTGGTGCTCGGCTTTGCGCAGCTGGAAGGTGGGTTGAACTCTGCCCGGGACTGCGGACCGGCCCCAGACACACCCGGCGCGCGCCCGGGATCCCAGCGGTTCCGGGACCCAGGGGAAGTAACCCCAGTTTAAGGCGGTCCGGGGTGCTTGGATCCGGTTCATTCACTGTGTTGCGCTCCAGTGCTTGGAAAAAAGCAACGTGAAAATAGCTGTAGCAGCTGACCTCTGGTTATCCATTCAGGCTTGGCCTCAATTAATTAAAAAGGGTAAAATAAAATTCCAGCTACCCTGGAGCGATCTTTGAAATGCTTAATCTTGGAGAGGGCCAGAGAGGAGACCGCTGGCTAGAAGGGGCATGGATCCTAGTTCCTCCCTCCTGCCCTTTCTGAAGAAGGAAAAATCAAAGACATGAGTCTTCTACTTCCTTTTTCCCTGATCACATTCTCTCTGAGGCCTGGTTGTCTCAGAAATGCTCATAACTTTAACTCAGTGGATGCACACAGCTTAACCTCCTGGGTCTGTGGGGTATAGTGCCCATACCCCCTGCCTCGTCAGTAATCTGAGCTGAATGAAAAAGCAGAAAATCAATCTATTGTTTAGAATGAGGACTCCTTCCAACAAGGGTGGGCTCTTATTCTGACCCAATCCTTGGGCAATTAAGATCAGCTACTAATTCTGCACTCAGAAGCTTATTCAATGAGACAGACAAGCTTCCCCTCCCCCAACGGAGCCTGCAGTTTATCTGAGAAGATAGACCTTAGCAAGTATTTGCATAAATAAATAATCACAATTGCAGATTAAGGCAAACAAAGGAAAATGTCCATGGGGCTATCTCTTGGCACAATGGTGTAGCAAGAGGGGAAATGTCTGAAAGCTGGCAAAGGGAAACCACATGAGAATTAATATCATTTGCTCTGTAGTAGGGGCGTGCTCTAAATCTGCTAGAGAGGAGGTTTGAGGTTTTCCTTTAGGTATGTTTTTCTGCCTGTCGGTTCTTTACATATGTAACATGGCTTATGGTTGGAGGTCACAGTTCACTCAGAGTATTGGTTTTCTCTTAAGGATACTGAAATTTGTTCCCTTTTCCTTAACAAATGTATATATTTCTGGGGATCCTATTTCTTGCTCTCTGGTAGTCTGTCTGCCTTGGAGCCTCCGCAGATTGGCTTGGAAAAGGGGCTCATCTTCATTGACAATGTCAACGAGGCTATTATAGGACACTCATGGGTAGGAAGGTTCTGGGATGAGGAATATCAGTTCCCCCTCCCCCTCTACTCAATTTACCTTGGAACTTCCAGGACTGGGGTTCACATCCTGTCTTTAGAGTCAGAGGGCAAGGGGGTTGACAAGCAAAAAAAGAGAATTCTTTAGAACCATTTTGTTGAGTCACCACTCTCTGTCAGTACCATAACCATTTTCTAGGCGGAAAGAAAATCACAAAGCGATTACTTGACTGTGCAAAATTGCCCAGTGGAATCAAAGGAAAATTGTATATGTGGACTAGAATTCCAGAACCAGAAAAGAATTGAATATGAGAAGCTGTGAGCACCTGCCTTTTTCACCTCATTTCCTTCTCTGCCTTATTACCTTTCAAGAGGTAACCACCCTTCACACACACACACACACACACACACAGACACACTCTGTACCATTTTTTTCATCCTGATATGAATCACATGGATCTTAAAGCATGGGATGTCTTTGTGGAATTCATATGATGAGGCAGCACCTGGGGAGCCCCAGTTCCTTAATAGACAAAGAAGTTACCATTTTGTTTTGTTTTTTTTAAAGATTTATTTATTTATTTATACAAGCACTGGGTACAGTTAGAAGTGTGAGAGGGTGAGGTTTCACCAGAGCCAGAGTGGGGAGCAGAACAGGCAGACTGATGAAACACACTGCTGAGGGGAGCAGAGGGCACAACAGGAGAGGTCTGCGCCCCATGTGGGACCCTCACCCGGCCGGGGATCGAACTGGTGCTGCAGAGGCTGCAGGCAGCTTCGCAGCCCAGCGCTCAACCACTGCGCCACCGGGGAGGCCCAAGAAGTTACAGTTTTGCGAGGATACTCACAAAAATTCATAAAATGCTAGGTCAAATCAAAGCAATCTAAAATATTGTGAGCATTGGATCAAGATAGACATTATCATTCCTATGCTATAATTTAGATATTTATTTTAAAGGAAAGTTATTTTCAAGAGAAGTTGGAAAAATGCCCTCAGAATATTAAGTAACATTTTTTAATATATAGAGACATCTTTGAGGTTATTGCAAGTAACTCTTTGTTCCCTTTTAAGGCCATCTTTCAGTTTCATAGATTCTTTTAGTATTGCCAGAGATAAAGAAGACTTCATATATATCATAACAGGAAACATAATCATCTCATTCATCATAGTATGAAATGGTGTTCTGCTACTATTTTGATCAATTCTAGGGTATGTTAACTCATGTTAAGAAACTGGCAACAGTGGTTGTCTTTAAGAAAGGATTCTGGCGTGCAAGGGTAGGAAGGAGACTTAAATTTCATTGTATATTCTTTCAGAATGTCTAAGTACATAAAAAATTACATTAAAAAATGAGGTAGATCATTTAAAGCAACAAGACATGGTAGAATAAGCAGCTATCTTGATATTACCATGTCCCCAAAATATTTTGAGCCACAGGAAAGAGTTAAGCATGGATTACCCATGAGACATAGCACTTTTCTAGCTGCTAGGTTAGATGTGAACGATCTCCAATTTCCCAGGTAGATTATATAAACTGTTTGGATCGTGTCCATGACCGGAGGTCAGAATGGTTCAATTTCTCCCTGGGAAAGTGAAGTCTTTTTGCTGTAGAATTGTAAAGAGGTAAATCATATGATCTTATAGTTACAGCATGAAAAGGCTATGAATTTTTCAGCCATTTTTGGTATTTAAAAAATTTGAAAATGTTTTTCATCTACATGCTCTACCTACAGTCACTGATTTCTTTCAAAACCTGTGATGAGAATATTTGCTTATAAGCCACAGGTATAAACAACCTACTCACATAGTCAGCATGACTCCTTCCCTTTCTTATTCTCCCCAGATACGGCAAAACACCAACTATTACTGCCATGAGAGCCTTTATGGAAAAAATAAACTTAATGCTTTGAGAAAGCGCGAGTACATAAGAGGGGGTAGAGGAAAAGGGACCAGTTTAAAGGCTTCAGTTTAATACATTAGAGGGGTTCAAGGTGCCCTTATAGGAGAATTGAGGATTCCTGGTTTGAATCTCTGCTTTGCCCCTTAAAGTAGGTAACCTTGGGCAAATTATTTAACCTCTCCAGATCTGTCCCTTACCTGAAACAAATAGATAATGATGATTAAATGTGCTGTCAGCTGCAATACTGGCAACCAGTGTGAACAATTAATAATTTTTATCTCATTTCCTTCCATTGCCCAAATACCTTTCCCTTTACTTGAAATTTTTATTTCAACTTGTTAACCCTGAAAAAATGACATGAAGAGGCTTTAAGGACAACCAGAAGACATTAAAAAACACACAAACTATCTGAGGTGACTAAGATGCTTGTCAAGTAAGTTTGGGTTCTTTTTAAAGCCAGGGTGTGAAGGTTTTGAGTAAGAGTAGTGAGTAATTTTATTTCAGACTTCAGAGACTCTGGCTGGCGAGTCCTTCGCTGGCCAAGGCGGATGTCAGAGCTGGAGAGCTAGGTATGATAGAAGAATGGAAGGGCCACACCCTGTGGTCATGCATGTATGAGTATGTTCTAAGCAGTGCCTTGCTCAGAAAAAGGGACATACTTTTCCTTGACCTTATATCCAAGTCACTGATTGGTTCAATTAAGTCAACATTTATGGTTCAACCTACAAGTTTTGCCCTTTTTCATGGAAAGCAGCATTTTCTGTGTTTCAATACCAACTTTTCAGTCATGTCCTATTCAGAATTTGGGAGCTGTCACTTTTTGTAATTCTGATTTGATAGAAAAGCTTAGTGACACGAAGATAGTGTAAAATAGAGTTGTCTTGCAGAATTTTTCAGGGACAGTTGGGAGTGGTGGTTTCTGCTGTCCTTGTTGTTTAATCCATAAATACTCTTCATCTATACCAAGGACCCATCTTTCAATTCTTCATAAATTCTTTTAGTATTGCCAAAGGTACTACCTTTATGCTTCTTGTCTCTATGGACTGATTAACTGTTACCAGAAAGTGGCTTCTTCTGAGGGAATTCTTTTTTTTTTTTTTTTTAAGATTTATTTATTTATTTATACAAGCACTGGGTACAGTCAGAAGTGTGGGAGGGTGAGAAAATTCACCAGAGCCAGAGCAGGGAGCAGAACAGGCAGATGGACGAAGTACACTGCTGAGGGGAACAGCGGGCGGGAGGAGAGGTCTGAGCGCCATGTGGGACCCTCACCCGGTGGCCGGGGATTGAACCGGCATTGCAGAGGCTGCGGGCAGCTTCGCAACCCAGCGCTCAACTGCTGCACCATGGGGAGGCCCTGAGGGAATTCTTGAAGCCTGTGAAACAGCAGCCTTGTTGAATATGTCCTTGTTTCCAATTCCTGGCATATGGCTGGCAGAAAGTAGGAGCTTGGGGCACACTTGTTGAATGAATCAAGTTTTGAGTCAAAAATAGATATAGCTGGAGAATTTTGGATAAAAATTCCACTTAACATTTTTGAGATCCTGAAAACAGATGAATATTCTACTTTATATGTTATCAGGGAATTGCAAATTAAAACAGGAGTAAGCCCCATAAGGATCACCAAATCCAGTACTGACAGCACCAAATGTTGGAGAGGATGTGGAGCAACGGGAACTCTCATGATTGCTGGTGGGAATCCAGAATGGTATAGCCACTCTGGGACAGTTTGGTGGTTTCTTATAAAACTAAACATACTCTAACAGTATATATGATGGAGCAATCATACTCTGGAGTCTTTACTCAAAGGAGTGAAAATGGATGTCCCCACAAAACCCCACATACGGATGTTTGTAGCAGTGCCAAAACTTGGAAGCAAACAAAATGTCTTTCAGTAGATGGACAGTACATAGAGACAATGGGATATTATTCAGTGCTAAAAATAAATGAGCTATCAAGTCATAAAAGATAGAGGAATCTTAAATGTATGTTACTAAGCAAAAAACTCCAATCAGAAAAGGCGACACATTGTATGATTCCAACTTTAGAACAAAAAGGCAAAACTATGGAACAGTAAAAACATCAGAGGTTGCCAGGGATGGAAGGAGAGGGAAGAATGAATAAGCAGAACACAGAAGACTTTTAGGGAAATGAAATTAGTCTGTTTGATAGAATAATGGTGGATACGTGTCATTACACATTTGTCCAAACCCGTAGTATGTACAACACCAAGAGTGAATCTTCATGTCAGCTATGGCTTTAAGGGACAATTTCATGTCAAAGTAGGTTCATCAATTGTTATTAATGTACCACTGTGGTGGGGGGTGGTGATATGGGAGCCTATGCATGTGTAGGCATAGCAGGGGCTATAGGGAAAATCTGTACCTTCTGCTCAATTTTGCTATTATAAAAAATTTTTTTTAAATCTATTAAAAAGAAAAACCAAAAAAAGATTGTTTTGTTCTTTGGGCCTCCTTTTGGTTTCCCAAAAGGGGTATTAAAGGTAATAACTTCAAAAGAAAGCTGAGGGCCTCCCCTGGTGGTGCAGGCAGTTGAGCGCAGTGCGGTGAAGCTGTCCGCAGCCTCTGCAGCGTGGGTTTGATCCCAGCCGGCTGGCAAGCGTCCCACATGGCGGTGCAGACCTCTCCTGTCTCACCCGCTGCACCCCTCAGCACTGTATTTCTTCAGTCTGCCTGTTCTGTGCCCCGCTCTGTCTCTGGTGAATCCCCTTACCCTCCTAGCGGATCTGGCCTGTACCCTGTTCTTGTATAAATAAATAAATCTTTAAAAAAAAAACAAAAACAAAAGAAAGCTGAGCAAGCAAAAAGATGTAACTTAGCAGAGAGATCAATCAGCCTGATTTGTGCCAAGGGACACTAGCTATGTCAGTTACCCAGAAAGCCTTGTGTACCCGGGAGCCAGACAGCCCCATCAGATCCTGATTCTGCCACTAACTAGCTGTGTATTTTTTTTTAATTAAAACATTTTTTTTTACATCGTTGTAGTCCCCATAGTTCTCCCACCACCATATCACCTGTGAACCATCACCACATTCCCTTTTGTGTATTTTGAGGCAAGTTAATTAACCTTTTTGTCTTTAATTTCCACACCTTGAATGAGGATAGTAATGGTGTCTACCTCATGAATGTATTGCAAAGGTGAAGTGAGTTACATTTAGAAAGTGCCTGAGACTGAGGACACACTTGGTAAATGTTAACAATAATAATAGGCCATGGGCAGGCCTCTGAGGAACCTGCAGATGCTCAAGAAAATGAACCAGAAAAGGCCTGAAAGAGAATGATTAATGTTTCACTGTGCCCATCAAGTTGGGTAATGGAAACTTGTGACCTAGGAATGGCTGATCAGTTCAGGGTCCATATCCTGGGTAAACATGGGTCATAAGCTTGAAAACTGTTCTGATTCACAGCAGATATGGTGGATCCAGCATGCCAGAGGAAAGGGGGATGGAGTTCTGAGTACATCTGAGCAAGAAATGGAGTAGGAAGTCATCTTGGTGATAACAGAAAAAACAATATACTGCAAACTTTAATCTTTGCCATTATATCAAAACTGGAAGATTCTAACAGAGGAATTTAAAGAAAAGTCCTAGAATAGCCCCAGTTTATGCTCACCAGTATACATGCAACCATCAAAAGGAGCATGTTGATGGACATGTAATCACACAAAGATCTGAATACAGTTGATAAATGAAAAGTCACAAAACAGCATGTACAGTACAATTCTCTTTATATAGAGTATGTGTGTGTCTGCATGTTTTTTTAGATTGATTTATTTATGCATACAAGAGCTGGGGTGTAGGCCAGAGGTAGGTGAGTAGGGGGAGGTGAAAGGATTCACCACAGACAGAGGTGGGAGCAGAACAGGCTGAAATACACTGCCGAGGGGAACAGCTGGTGAGACAGGAGAGGTCTGCACCATGCTGGTTAACTCCCTGACTGAGTCAAACTCATGCTATAGTAGCTGTGAATAGCTTCATAATGCTGAGATTTAACCCCTTGAGCCACCAGGGAGGCCCTGTTTGCATATCTGGATGTGTGCTTAAATTTGTAGTAAAAAAAAAAAACAAATTGGAAGTGTCTGTACCAAACTGTTGGCAGTGGTTAGCACGAGGAGTTGAGAATCGCAAGATGGTTTTCATGTTTTATTCTTCATGAAGTGTAGCCGATTTAACAAATAAAAATACCGAGAAACCCTGTTAAATTTGAATTTGAGATAGATGTTGAATATTTTAAAATATTTTAAGTGTAAATATGTCCCAAGTATAATAATAGTATGAATATACTTACATTTAAAAGTTGTTCATAATTTATCTGAAATTCAGACTTAACTGGGCATCCTGGATTTCCTCTGGGAAACCTACACTCTCTCCTGAGTATCATTTAAACTTCTTTAAAGGTTATTTTCATGAACTAATTGTAGGATTTAAAAAAGTTTAAAGGAAAAGAAAAGTAAGATCGTTTCCTTTCAATATAATTTTTAGTTAAGGTAATTGACTGGCCTAGAAAAAGCAGCATGCATACTAATACCCCAAATTTATAAAAAGAAGAAATAAAGTACATTTGTGTGTAAACTACATAATGGAAGGGTATAGATTAGGATGGTTTAAATTTCTTCCTTGCAGGCTTCCCCAGTGGCGCAGCGATTGAGCGCTGGGTTGCGAAGCTGCCCGCGGCCTCTGCAGCGCTGGTTCGATCCCCGGCTGCTCCCCGGCCACCGGAGGAGGGTCCCACATGGCGCACAGACCTCTCCTGCCGCCCGCTGCTCCCCTCAGCAGTGTACTTCGGTCCTTCTGTCTGCTCTGCTCCCCGCTCTGGCTCTGGTGAATTCTCTCACCCTCCCGCGCTTCTGACTGTACCCAGTGCTTGTATAGATAAATAAAAATAATAAATCTTTTAATAAATAAATAAATAAATAGATTTCTTCTTTGCACTTTATGATGTTTTTAAAAAATGTTCATTAAAAAAACACAAATTACTTTTGGAAAGGGAAAAGGTATATGAAGAACACTAAGGACTAAGATATAGGACTTATATATAGCCACGTTATTAGTTGCAGCATCCCCTCAGAAAAAGGGGTAGGCAGCAGTGTGCACCTCACCTTTGGTATGAAGTTTTAAAAAACACTGTCATCCTGTGTCCTTTCAGGGTACCTCCAGAAGCAGCCCTACTTTGGAGCAGTGGTTGGCAGAGTGGCCAACCGAATTGCCCAAGGAACCTTCTCGTTGGATGGGAAGTTGTATAAGCTACCCATTAACAGACCACCCAACAGTCTGCATGGCGGAGTCAGAGGGTTTGATAAGGTGAGTCTGGGGCATCGGACAGAGTTCCCACCAGGCACACTTCTGAAGTACCTTCAAGCATGCCTCTGCTTACCAGGCATGGTCCTTGACACTGGAGCAAATGCTTGTAAGATGATATAGGGAAAAGGGTAATTCTGAGGAGCAGATTCACTGGCCCTGTTCCATCCTTCTCTAGCTTATCTGACTCTAACAGGCAGATTATAAAAGAAATCAATGGACTTTGGGGGGTGGGGGGCGGGAGGGGAAGGATTGGGGTCAGAATGGGGCGTTTGCAATTGTACGGGGGAATATAAAAATAAAATTTAATATTTAAAAAAAAAAAAAAAAAAAAAAAAGAAATCAATGGACTTTGACTTAGGGAAGATAGGGCACAACTTTTTCGCAGTGTTGAGACCAAGGACTCAGGTTGACCTTAGGCACGATAGGAAAGTGGATTCATAATAATACCTATCACTCATCACACAAGGCATTTGAATATATTATTTCTAAACTTTACTAAAACCTTGTATTCCCTCCAAATGAGAAATATGAGGCTCTGAAAGGCCACAGAACTCTAAGTCGACTGGCCTGGCACAAAGGCCTCATTCTGAGCTACAATGGCTGGTATCCCCCACCCGACACACCCACTCAATATGGCGCCACATCCAGGCCTACTCTTCCCCTGAAGCACCTCATGCCTCAAAGTTACCTCAGACTCTGTCCTCAGACTCTGTCCCTGATTTCCACATTAAAACTCCTATTCCCCAAGTGAATCCCTGAAAAAACAAGTTTAGGAAAGAAAATTGATCACCACGCTTCTCCCCGAGGTAGAAGGCCTGGCCTTCTGCTTCTTACCTGGGTGGTAGTCTGTAGATTAACCCCTTGCTGATTTTCTTCGTAGCCTACTTTCAGATTATGAGGAAGATAATTTTGATAGTTAACGTTCCTTTAAATTATACCATCTAGGCCTCCATGGTTGTGCAAGGGGTTAAGTCGTAGCACTATGAAGCTTTCAGCAGCCACTGCAGCATGAGTTCGATGCCCGCCAGGGAGCTAACTAACCCACATGGAGCAGCAGACCTCTCCTGTCTTGCCCGCTGCTCCCCTCAGCAGTGTATTTCAGTAGAGCCACCTGTACTGCTCCCCACTCTGTCTCTGGTGAATCCTCTAACCCCCTGCACCTCTGGCCTGTACCCCAGTTCTTATATGCATAAATAAATAATTTTTTAAAAAAATAAAAGTAAATTATACAACCCAGGTACTTTCTAGACAAGACATAGAAGAGACAGAAAGTCATGGAAGTTAAGGACTACATTACTTTTTTGCCTCTGACCACCACCAGTCCTGTTGAAAGAAGTTGGTCACTCTGTTTCTCTGTCCCACTGCTTCCTTTTTGTGGCCTTGAACCAGACCGCCTGAGTTGTTCCCCCTTTTTCCATGAAGGGTCTTTTCATACCAAGGCGGCATGAAAGTAGGAGGCCTCTGCAATATGCCAGGTCCATGGGCAAACCCCAACCAGAGGAAGTTAAGGCTGGCTCTGTTTGGATAGGGATCTTCAGAAGAGTTTCTAGCACCTTGTTCCTGTTCCCTCTTTACTACTCTGGTGTTTTCTGTGATTGCTTAACATGTATATATAGAAATATAGAAATATAGCCATATAGAGAGTACACATATCTTTCAATGCCTCCTGAGCCCCTTCTGTGAACCATAGAGCATAATAGGATAAGGGTTCTTGAGACTTAGCATATAGTGAAGGAGCCAGACCCTAACATGCCTGTTACAGGGGGCTACAGAAGTCTCATAATATTGGATATTAGTGGTGTACTATTAGAAATGGGTATGGGCAGGGCTTCCCCGGTGGCGCAGCGGTTGAGCGCGGGGTTGCGAAGCTGCCCGCAGCCTCTGCAGTGCCGGTTCGATCCCCGGCTGCTCCCCGGCCACCGGAGGAGGGTCCCACATGGCGCGCAGACCTCTCCTGCCGCCCGCTGCTCCCCTCAGCAGTGTACTTCGGTCCTTCTGCCTGTTCTGCATCCTGCTCTGACTCTGGTGAATTCTCTCACCCTCCCTAGCTGCGCTTCTGACTGTACCCAGTGTTTGTATGAATAAATAAATAAATCTTAAAAAAAAAAAAAAAAATTAAAAAAAAAAAAAAGAAATGGGTATGGGCAAATTAACAGCATCTGGGGAGGTGAGATTTTGAGCTGCCCTCGATGAAAAAATAACATTTTATTCAATAAGTGGATATGGGTGAGAATAGCAATGCAACAACCAGAGAGGGATGAGAAAGGGTGTGGAATCTTATTATAGAACCACTAACAGTCTTTGGACAGTGGGTTTTGATATAGTAACTCCGGCACTATTAGATGAGCTTTGCTTTAAGTTGCATTTGATCTCAACGATTACGGAATAATTGATGGCTTGGAGGTATATACTTCTCTATTTATATTAACGTGTTGTTTTATTTATTTTTTAATTTTTTTAAAGATTTATTTATTTATGCATACAAGAGCTGGGGTATAGGCCAGAGACGCAGGGGGTGAGAGGATTCATCAGAGACAGAATGGGGAACAGAACAGGCAGACTGACCGAAACACACTGCTGAGGGGAGCAGCGGGTGAGACAGGAGTGGTCTGCTGTACCATGTGGGTTGTTCCCTGGCAGGCCGGGGATTGAACTCGTGATGCAGAGGCTGCAGATTGCTTCATAGTGCAGTGCTTAACCCCTTGCGCCACCAGGGAGGCCCAACATGTTTTAAAAGATGAATTTTGAATAAACTGACAGGACTAGAAATGATAGGAGCAGGTAAAGAAATGATATAAGAGATACAAATTTGGAAATTTTCACAGGGAAACTGAGTCAGAGCATGCTCCCATGAAGAGGGGATATACTTTCCATGAATTATGTTTACCTGATAATATTGGTTTACACAAAAATCTTTCCATTGTGTCCTTCTAAAGGAGGAAAACTGAGCTAGTATTCAAATATTATATTTCTAAAATTTTCCTATTTCAGAATTTTTTTTGTTTTAATCAGACATAAGACAGTGTTTATATTTTAAGTGCCTTGAAAGATCAACATTTCTGGGAGATAATTAGGGTACAAAATTAATTTTTTACTAAGGTCAGTGAATTTGTTTCAAATACCAGCTGCTTTCACCGTAGGTGAAGGCACAAACCTCCACTCCTGCTGAGCTCCCCTTCCTGGCAAATGTAACATCAATAAGAGAGATCCAAGCCAGGGTCTCCCTGCTGGTGCAGGGCTTAAAGTCTCAGTGCTATCAAGCTATCACTGCTGCACCTCCCCCTGCAGTGACCTTTAGGGCTAACCGGCCCTAGGTCCGGCTGGGCAACCAGCGCGCAGGGGAAGAACAGCAAAACCCTACCTGCTGCACCTCCCCCCGCAGTGATCTTTAGGAATGGCTTTCGCCACGGTCCCTAGATCCGGCTGGGCAACCAGTGCGCGGGGAGAACAGCCTGAAGCAGAGGAAGTGCAGCGGAAGTTCCCTGAAATGGCAGAAGCTTATCAATAGATAACGACCACCAAGAACCACTACAAGAATGCTAAAAATCTTATCCCGTCTTTCTAGAACTACAAACTTTAATCCCTTATCTGTCTTTCTAAACTTCCTCCTTTCTTCTATAATGGTCATTGTTTGTTATGTAGATCACCTCCCTGATGGTGATAGACTGAGCCCATGAGCAAGCTAATTTCATTGATAGTCATTCCTGTGCTTTTGGAAAACATATATATACTGGTCACAAACTTAAAGAAAATTACACTCAGATTTTCACTCTTGAAGTGTGTCTGTTTGTCATTTCTTTCGCCGACGCCCTGACCACCCTGCACGCTTCTCTCAACCCTGAGGTGGCCTCATCGTCTACTGTCTACTGCTGTGCTGGTCCGCGGCATATCACCAGCCACTGCAGCATGAGTTCTATACCCAACCGGGGAGCTGACCCACGTGTCGCAGCAGACCTCTTCTTTCTTGCCCACTGCTCCCCTCAGCAGTGTATTTCAGCCTATTCTGCTCCCCCCTCTGTCTCTGATGAATCCTCTCACCCCCCACACCTCTGCCCTATACCCCAGTTCTTGTGTGCATAAATAAATAAAAGTAAATCTTAAAAAAAAAGAAAAGATGCAGGCCATGCCAGGAGTGGGTGGGCAGAGCCTGTGTTACAGGCCACTCCTGTAGCCCACCGTAGCCCCCAGATGTTACTGTCTTTGAAGTTTATTTGGAATAACAGTGTTTAGCCTCAACACTTCTGTTGAAAATGGAGAATTGGACAAAAAAGTGACTTAAACTAAGCTGTGGAAGGATATAGATTGTCAGACCTAAGTTTGAATCATAGCTCTGTCATTCATTACATGTGGACTTCAAATAAAGTTGTTTTTCGGTTTTTGTTTTCATTTTAAAACAATAGGCATGAACTATAAAAGGGCCCTACTTTCCTGAGATGTGGGAGGTGGGCATTGGCAAGTTAATGCCACTGAACTCAGTCTGCTCAGTCTGCATATAAAATGGGGGTAATAATATTTCTTGGAGTCATATGAAATAACTGATGTTCAACAGTTGTTTGTTTGTTTTTTTTAAAGATTTATTTATTTATTTATACAAGCACTGGGTACAGTCAGAAGCGTGGGAGGGGGTGAGAGAATTCGCCAGAGCCAGGGCGGGGAACAGAACAGGCTGACTGACCATATACACTGCGGAGGGGAGCAGTGGGTGCGGCAGGAGAGGTCTGTCGTGCCATGTGGGCCCCTCGCTGGCAGCGGGGGATGGAATTGGGGGTGCTGCAGAGGCTGCAGGCAGCTTTGCAGCCCAGCACTCAACTGCTACGCCACCAGGGGAGGCCCAATGTTTAACAGTTTTGCCATTCCAAGATGGCGATTTCATTTGCTTCAAACCCTAACCTTATAAAATCATTTATGTAAAGTACCTGGTCAGTGACTGGTGGGCACTCAACTAATGGTGGTCTTGTGACTGCAAAGTTTCCTTTACTAGTGACCTCAGGCCTTCCCTAAGAGACTGGGGGTCACCTTGTCCTCTTATCATATAAAACGAGGGAATAGGCACAGTTTCTCCTTTCTGAGTCTCAGCATACTCATCATTATATACAAATAATGGTACCAATTTTAAGTTAGCTCTGAGACAGTGTGTGTCAAGTTTCTAGCAAAGTGCCTTGCTCATAATGGACACTTGATAGATATTGGCTTTCCCTTCCCTAGAAGTGTAAGTTGAGGCCCCTAAGGCAAAGTTGAGATGTTAACACAAGATTCCTGTCCCTATTCCTAAAGCAGAAAGCTTTTAGAAAACTATTCTTCTTTATATTTTTCTTGCCATTCTTAAAACAGTATTTTCTAGAAAAAGAAGAAAGCTTCAAGATCTTTTTTCTAATACCCACAGTCATACAGGGAGCCAGGAACAAATCTAGCTCCCAAATAAAGGCTCTTTTGTTCTTGGCTTCTAGATTTTAGTTTTTCTGAAATAACATAATTTAGTCCCAAAGGTTTCAACAGAATTATAATGGCTAAGCTGCAAAATCAGCATTGTTTGTCTGACAAGTTATACAAAAACACATTAATATTTCTTGTGAAAAAGGTACTAGAGGGCCTCCCAGGTGGCACAGGGGCTAAAGAGAGCACTGTTAAGCTCTCCCAGCCTCTGCAGCACGAGTTCAATCCCCAGTGGCCAGGGAGAAATCTACGTGGCAGAGCAGAACTCTTCTGTCTCCCCGCTGCTACCCTCAGTTGTGTATTTCAGGCAATCCACTTGTTCTGTTCCCCACTCTGTCTCTGGTGAGTCCTCTCACTCCCCACACCTCTGGCCTGTACCCCAGTTCTTGTATGAATAAATAAATCTTTTTTTTTTTTAAAGATTTATTTATTTATTTATTTGTACAAGCTCTGGGTACAATCAGAAACGCGGGAGGGTGAGAGAATCCACCGGAGACAGAGCAAAGAAGAAGGGAGCAACAACTAATTACAGGTCATTTTACTAACCTAACACCAAAACTTCACTGTTAGAATCTTGCATGTGGCTGCAAGAAAGAGGGAAAAAGGTGAGGGGACTGCAAAAGTTGGGTCATCCTGAGCTTGTGTCCCTGTGTGTGCATTAAGGCAGCACAGGGTCTAACAAAGAAGAAAATCACTGAGAACAAGGTTGTAAAGGCGGCCCTCAAGTGCTAATGAGGCAGTGTGTTCAGCAGGCACTGCTGGAGTTGGACCTCCTGAACTAGCACTTTCTTCTTGGCATTCAAGTTCCTTTTTTAAGATTTATTTATTTAGGCACACAAGAGCTGGGGTACAGGCCAGAAGTGCTGGAGGGTGAGAGGATCCACCAGAGACAGAGTGGGGAACAGAACAGGCAGACTGACTGAAGCACACTGCTGAGGGGAGCAGCGGGTGAGTCAGGAGAGGTCTGCTGTGCCATGTGGGTTACTCTCTGGCCAGGGATCGAACTCACACTGCAGAGGCTGCGGATTGTTTCATAGTGCAATGATAAACCCCTTGCGCCAACAGGGAGGCCGTCAAGTCCCTTTTAAGATCTACACATTTTTTTACCCAGGCCTGGTCTGACATATTTCTGAGCCAGACACTTGCCAACCCACATGCCCCAAAATCAGTCCAAACAGGAACTGGAACCTGGTGTCAGCAAAGAGGGAACAATACCACCCCCGCATAAGGGAGTGAAGGGGTGAGGGCAGAACCCGGCCCCAGATGAGGACTCTTCACTTGTGATCTAGAAACTCTTCCTCGGGGAGCAAGCGCCTTCTTAGTTACTTGGAACTCTGCCCAGAGAACACAGAGAACTTTGGAGTGTTTTTACAAATATTTCTAGCCCCAGGAGAAGGGGCTGATTTGTTTAGATTATTTTTAATTCTCTTAGCAGATATTAGGATATCACATTTAGGATGGAGCTGGAAGGGATCATGTTCAGTGAAATAAGCCAGAAGGAAAGAGAAAAATACCGGTCTCACTCATAGCAGGAATTTAGAAAACCTAAATAAGGGACCAGGAAAAAGACTAATTATAATAAAGTAAAAATCAAAATCAACAAGCAACTATAAACCAGAGACACACTATGGGGGGAGGAGGGAGTAGGATGAAAACAAGGGGGGTGGGAATTGTATGGGGACTATCACCAAGATGAAAATGCATACATTGTGCAAAAATGAAAAATGATGTAAAAAATATACAAAATAAAATAATTTTAAAAAATTAAAGAAGGGGAAGAAGAAATACTGCAGACACATACATGCAAATTTAGAAAGGAAGTGTGTGGGAAATGAGAGTAGGTAAGAGGAAAAAAAAATCTTCTCTCTCGGAAGTCACTTTTAGGCATAAATAAATTTTTGAATAATTTAAATCCAGGCCATTAATCAAAACCCTTGATGACTGTCTAATCACCTCCTTTCTTGGAATCAGTTCTTTGATACCAAAATGTGGCATATAGTTTGGGACTGGAGTGACTGACCAGCTTTGAAAACACTTTTTCCTAGGTCCTCTGGACCCCTCAAGTGCTGTCAAATGGTGTCCAGTTCTCACGTGTCAGTCCAGACGGTGAGGAGGGCTACCCTGGAGAGTTGAAAGTCTGGGTGACATACACGCTGGACGGTGGGGAGCTGGTGGTCAACTATCGCGCACAGGCCAGTCAGACCACACCTGTCAACCTAACCAACCATTCCTACTTCAACCTGGCAGGTCAGGTAAGTGAACTGGCTCTCCTGCTGGAATATAAAGTGTAATTTCCTCTTTTCTCCTCTCTGGTGCTTTGTGGAATGACCTAGGGGAGAGACTAGAGAGAACAACCCCAGTATGGAATTATTCTGGTAATGGGATTACCCCCAAGATGATAAAAAGTGCCAGCAGATCATCTGGCACATGGTAGGTACTCAATAAATGAAAGTTATGGAGGAGCGAATGAGTACATTGTACTGCCAAGACAATTACCTGTTTCTCACATGCTCAGACAAATAGCTAGATATTTCAGGGATTCCCTCTCATCTGAATGTAAGGTGTACTCACATTTGATGCCCCTGTTCCACTCCTACCCACCCAAATTGCTTTCTACTCAGTCACTTTCCATCCTTGGAGCTTAGGAAATGTGCATGACCCAGCCCCCCTGGTCTCAGCCTGTGCTGTCACAGTGCAGCCCACCCAGCTCGCCCCAGAGCTTCTGCAGGTCAGGCAGACTCTGCGCAGAACAGTGGAAAGACTTAAACTTAGGCTTAGAAGACCCAGCTTCTTTAGAGTTGTGGGCATATTCTCAATTTCATAAATATAGCTACCTGTGTCTTGTCAGCCACTGTTAGAAATACTTTATGAACCTGTTGATAAAGACCCTAAAATTAGGGTCTCCATGGTGGTGCAGGGGTTAAAGTTTCAGCACTATCAAGCTATCGCCAGCCATGGTGGCATGATATGAGTTCAATCTCCGGCCAGGGAGCCACCCACATGGCACAGCAGACCTCTCCTGTCTTGCCTACTCCTCCCCTTAGCAGTGTATTTCAGTGAATCTGCCTGTTCTGCTCCCCACTGTGTCTCTGGTGAATCCTCTCACTCCCCGCAGCTCTGGCCTACACCCCAGTTGTATGCATAAATAAATAAATTTTTTTAAAAAAGTCTTTAAAATTAGCTCACCACAGGGATTGAGGTCTGGAAAGACACCTAAAATGGGCACCCTCAGAGTGGTGAGGAGCCCATGGCATATATCCTCAAAATGACCCATTTCCTCCTAATGGAAATAAATTACCCTGCTACATGAGACAGAATAAAAAAGTGAGCTAAAGTAAGCTAGTAGTTTATCTCAGCTACATCCTCTTTATCTGAAGGACTTAACACTGTCCTTTATCCTTGAACCCCTCGGGCGTGATTTCCTACCTTGAGGTAAAAGTTCTCCATTCACTTTTTTGTTCTTTATCTTCAAGGCCTTCTACCATCCTACATGAGGCCTTAAAGATAAACCAAAAACCAAAACTTGCCCAGCCAGAAGCAGTTCTGCAGTAAGGCACATAAAGAACCACCCCCACTGCCCGACTTTTAAAAATAAGATCAGACAGAAACTTGACAGAAATAGACAAATTACAAGTGGTTTAGGTAGAAGGTAGATTATGCTGATTTTTCACTATTTTCCACATTTTTGTATACTTAAGACATCCTGTTTTCCAATTGGGGGAGGGTATGGAGGAGGAATAGATTCAGAAATAAAAAGAGAAATTGTGCATGAAATAACACATCTGCCAGCGGGTCCAGTGAAGAGAATGACAGGTCCACTGAGGCTGTTTCAACATTTATCTCCTGACCAGAATTTGCCACCCTTCTAATCCTACAGGGATGTGGAGTGACAGGTATTTCTAAATTTTGATCTTTTCCTGGGCTAGCCATATTCAGTACAATACTATCTCATGATGCTAGCAGCGGAAGCAAGCCTCAGCCCAGCTGGCCACGCCATCACAAGGGTACATAACTAACACTCTTCCGACGGTTTTCACTTTTGGTGCAGTTTTTAATAAATTACATGAGATATTCAACAGTTTTTTATAAAATAAGCTTTATATTAAATAATTTTGCCCAACTGTAGGCTAGTAGAAGTGTTCTGAGCACATGTAAGGGAGGCTAGGTTAAGCTAAGATGCCGTGTAGGTTACCTGTGTTAAATGCATTTTTGACTTAGGATATGTTCAGCTTGCAATGGGTTTCTCTCAAGGTAACCATGGAAGATCTATAGTCACACATGGGACACAACTCGGCACTGATATGAGCACTGAACAAATAGAGCTAGGAAACAGCCCCCAAGTCCCTCCCCTCGTTTCTGTTCTGGTCAGTCCCAGAGGCTTCTGGGGTACTGTTAGTACCCCTAAGGAGAGAGAGCCCTCTCGTGTGGGATTGCTTAGGCAGGGATATGGCCCCGTCCCATTTTGGACTGGCCTTCCTAGGCCAGAAGGGTGACCCAAGAAATGACTAAGATGGAACATGTGGAGGAAGGAAAGGCCTCTGCCCTGACCTTATCTCCACCTACCCCTGCCTCTGCCAATCATGTATGCACTGGGAGAATACAAGAGAATCGTAGTTCTTCAGACACAAGCCTCCTTGTAGTGTAATTAAACCAATTTCTGTTATGTTTGGACATAGATTCTCACGGTCTTTAAAATCTTGGCCTTTATCCTCAGGACAGCTATTTTTGATTATGTGTCCTGAGTCTTTCCGAGCATAGAATCTGTTTCCAGGCAACCCGCAGCCCTCTGCCTCTTATTGCTTGTGCTCCTTAGGAACCAAATAGCCCTTCCATTTAGCTTAGCTCAGGGTTTCTCAAATTTTGGCAACATTGACATTTTGAGCCAAATAATTCCTTGTTGTGGGGGTGGGGAGATTGTTCTGTACATTGTAGCGTGCTTAGTTGAACTCACGACCTCTTCCCACTAGAGACCAGCAGCATTACCACCCCTGTCGTGACCACCCAAAATGTGTCTAGACACTGTCAAATTCTGCCCTGTGGGGCAAAATCACATTCAATTGAGAATCAATTGTTTTTGAACATTTACTAAGCAAAAGCCTTCATCAGATCCCCTTCCCACATCTTCTGCTGTGAGGTTTTAAAATATGCTCCTATTAATCATAAAAAGTAATCCTTTTTATTAGAAATACACATGTGTATTTTCTAGTTTGTAAGCAGCACAACGTATCTTTACTAAACTGTTCTCTCCAGAGCCCTGGAAAATGGAGGGCCACCATCAGCCCAATTTTACAGCCAAGGAAATGAGATTCTAGGACACTAGGAGACTTCCTTGGAGCCTCTAAGCAAGAGATGCAACTAGACCCCAGGTCTTCCGACCACTGATCAGGAGGGGATCCAGGTTCTGACTCCTGGGTTTTTATCATGTGTCAAGGAGTGGGTGCTCTTGGAGGGAGTTGGGCCAGAGCAGGGGTGACAGGTAGCCCACCTCTTGTAAGCCTGGGGGCGATAACTTGGCCATCAGCACCAGTTTGCTCCAGGTCACTAACCCTTGCTCTTGTGTGCCTGGCCCATCAGGAGAGTGGAAGAAGTCTGTATGCTAACAAGCCAAAGTCTAAAAGGCTTACAAACTACTGTTTTCACTGAATTTTCAGCTTCATACTCCCATTTAGAAAAGAAGATATATGCTGGATTCCCACTTGAAATCTTCTTCCAAATTTACCAGCTGCTATTTTGAGTTCTTGTCTACCTGTATCTAAGTGAATATTTTAATCAACACATTAATCAAGAGGTAAAATTGGATTTCTAAAGTTTCTGTCAATGCCTGAAAATATTTCAGCAGAAGAAGTTATGAAGCAAATATATAAAATAAAGCTAAGCATTAAATCTTTTTTTAAAATAATTTTTATTTTTATATTCCCCATTCAATTGCAACCCCCTTATTTTGACCCCAATCCCTCCCCTCCCTGCCCCCACCCCCCATAGAGTGTCTCTGGTTCATAGTTTTTTGTTGATTTTGATTTTCACTTTCTTATAGTTATTTATTTTCCTGGTCCCTTATTTAGTTTTCTAGATTCCTGCTATGAGTGAGACCATCAGGTATTTTTCTTTTTCTTTCTGGCTTATTTTGCTGAGCATGATCCCTTCCAGCACCATCCATGTTGCTGCAAATTGCATGTGTTTATCTTTTTTGAATTAAGCATTAAATCTTTTCTTTCTCTACCTTTTCCTCCTCAGGGTTCCTCAAACATATATGACCATGAAGTCACTATAGAAGCTGATGCTTTTTTGCCTGTGGATGAAAACCTCATTCCTACAGGTTGGTGAAGTTACACTTTTTATGGCAATGAAGGGCTGATCTGAGGAGCATTGAGATTTATCTGATTTCAGTTCCCTGTTGATGTGCCAAAAATGCATTAATTACCATGATTAGTCATTTGTTTTGGTTATGATTGGGTGACCACATAATTAAATACCCAGACTAGGACACTTTTGAGAGAGAAAAGGGATGCTATTTAATAAGTAAGCCAGGGCAACAGGCATGAACTAGAAGAGTCCCCAACAGACTGGGTCATATTGTCATCCTACCTGAGACTTAGACTCTCAGTGTTCTCTGTTCAAATGTGAACAGTTACATCTGAGCACCTTAGCAGAGATACATCTTGCCTGCCAGATCACCTCACACGTACAGAACACACACACAACGTGACGTGGTTTTGTTGGACAAGGGAAGGGTAGATGGGTTTAACCCTAAGGACAAAAGGCAAATGCAGGTAAGTCATGCCTGAAACACAGTTAAGGGGGTGGGGCAGAACATGAGTGCAGAGTGTCTAAAGAGAAGGTGAGGAGGTGCCAAAGTCAAATCTCGTGTGTGTGTGTGTGTGTTTCTCCTAAGTTAACTGAATGAAGATCATCTTGGTTATTATTTGGGATGAAAAATACCTTGATTCAACTACTCAGCAATCAAAAAAGCTAAATTCATACCATTGAGGCAACATGGATGGAGCTGGAAGGGATTATACTAAGTGAAGTAAGTCAGAAGGAAAAATATATATGGGGTGGTGTCACTTACATGTGGAATATAGAGAAACCGAATGAAGGGTTAGGAAAAAGATGGAACTTACAAGCTGACCATAGATTTGAGGCAGACAGCAGGGGAGGGGAGGGTGAAGGATCAAGACAAGGGAGGAAAGAACACAAGGGACTATGGTGATGGATCCCTAGTGGTATAGTGGTGGGAGAACTACAAGAACTACACCGGAAGGGAGAAATCAAGTACTGGGCAAAGATTAACAACAATGTAAGAAAATAAATTCAAAATAACTTGAATTAAATAGGCAAATTCATAGAAATAGAAAGTAGATTAGTGGAGGGCGTGGGGAACGAGAAGTGATAGTGGGTAAGAGATTTCCTTTGGGGTGATGAAAAGATTCTGGAATTAGTGGTGATTTAGTATATCAGTAAATATGTTAAACCCCATTGAATTGTGTACTTTAAAAAGGTGAATTTTGGGTATGTGAATTCTATCTCAATTTAAAAAGCAACAACCTTGGTTCATGTGTTATTTCCAGGACTGAGTGATGTGGTTTTCATTCTTCAGACCCCCAGCTGCCTCCATGGGGGCAGAGGGGTGACAGAAAGTAACTGGAGGGACTGCTGTTATTTGTGACAACTTACAGAAATTTAAGTAATTCTACCAAAGCAGTAGATAAATATTCTTATCAGGATCTTACAAAATCAGAGATCAGGTAAATGTAGATGGCATAGTTAAGAGAACTAAACAACAGCAGAGGATGAAGGGAAATAAGAGCAGAAAACTAGAAAGAAATCTCCAAACAGCCTTGCATCAACATCTCTTGACCTGGCAGGAAGGTCCCCCTGGTGCTGCTTCTTGACAGGCCAGTCTCCTTCTTGTGTCTGACAGCGAATTCTCAGAAGCCATCTCAGAGCTTCTTTGTCAGCTTGCTTGTGTCCTGTGTTCCATCCTCTTGACACTGTTCAAAGCCCCGTTCTCTGTGGCACCTGCTATGGCAGCTATGGGTAGATGGTCAGGAAGACTTTTCTCTTCATTCCCACCATGCAAGGGTACTGCTGTTTTAGTTGTCACATCTGCTCCAATCAAGAGCTTCAAATGACAGAATGTGAGCAGTTAGAAGCCAAGGGCACCACCTTAGCCAAATCTTCAAGGTTTACATCATCTGTAATAAGATGTGTCAACGTTTCATCTCCCTACTGCATGCCCCTAATGCATGATGCATTGCACAACATAAAAAAGCACACCATTTGTGTAGTCGCCTGTCAAAAAGGCATAACCTAATTCCCTTCAGGAGAAAAACATCACATAAATGCAATTGAGGGTTGTCTACAAAATTGGCCGGTATTCTTCAACAGTGCCAAGGTCATGAAAAAGGCTGGAGAATGGTCATAGAGGCGACCAAGAAGCTATGACAGCCAAATGCAATGTGGGGTCCTGGATTGGATCACATACCAGAAGAGGGACTTTAGTTAGAAAACTAATGAAATTCTAATAACGCTGGTAGTTTAGTCAATACTATTGTTCCAGACTTAATGTCTGCTTTTTATTTTAATTTTTTTGGGAGGGTATATTTTTGCTGTTCCATATGTGTACATGTTCTGCTCACCCTCCATCCAATGCTAATTTCTTTTTTTAAAGATTTATTTATTTATGCATACAAGAATTGGGGTACAGGCCAGATGTGCGGGAGGGCGAGAGGATTCACCAGAGACAGAGCGGGGAACAGAACAGGCAGACTGACTGAAAGATAGGAGAGGAACAGCGGGCAAGATAGGAGATGTCTGCTGCGCCATGTGGGTCAGCAACCTGGCTGGGTGCTGCACCTTCACCCCTTGCACCACCAGGGAGGCCCCCAATGCTAATTTCTTAGTTGTGATCATTGTGCTGTGGTTATGTAAGATGTTAACCATAGGAAAGGGTAGATGAAAGATTTACAGAGACGTACTGTTTTTGCAGCCTTCCTGTAAGTCTAACATTATTTCAGATTTAAAAATTGAAAAAAAAAAGTAAGACCAAGTAAGATGTTTATTTAAGTTTACTAGATATTCATGTTACTTCAGGTAAGGGCTTTTGTTTTATTTCAGCCTCTTTGAAATAATGGGATCGTATTTATAACTGCTAGTTCAAATTTTTTATGTGGAAAAAGGAAAGAATATGAGTTTGCATTCTAAATAGCAACTTTAGTCTATAGCAGGAATAAGAAAGAACTCCCTTAAATACAGTAACTATAAAACTAATTAGACTAGTTAGTAATGAGAAATCAAGATAAATGGACTAAGTGTTTGCATCATCATTTTGGCCCGAGGGCTGGGTTTGTGTTTGTCTTGGTAATAAGTGTCACCTTCTCATATTTACATGGCTCAAAGGATGGGTATGAGTAAGCTGACCCATCTTGTCCTAAATGCAGAATTATTACATTGAAACTAAGTGTTGTGAACTGTAAGGAAAAAGTGGTGGCAGCTGCTGTTTTGTGACTGATAAGGCAGAAAATGAATTAAGTAGCTTATAAATGAAAGTAATAAAGTAAGTGCATATTTGTGTCTATTTCTAAATCTTCTGCTATCTTTTTGAGCTTTGATCAGATGAAAATGACAAAAATGCATAATTCATGCTGTATAAAGATTATTTGTCATGATTATAAGAGATAATTGTGGCAAAGTCCCATAGAGCTTAGCATGCCATCTAATGGGCTACGTAAAATTCATGTTCATGAATTTGGTTCTGCACCACAAATGATGTTAGGATCAAATTCTATACTTTGTGCGAATCTTGAACACCTGTGCAATGAAATAGGCTGTAAGTTCTCTGAACTCTGTGAGGTACAAGTCCTAATCCTCATCTTGACTTTGCTGTCAGCTAACTAGGGGACCTTCAGCCAACCAGGGGACTATGTAAAAAGCTTTAATATTTAACCTTTCTAGACTTTCATTTTCTTTCTGCAAATAGGAAGGGCATTGAACGCATTAGATTTTATGGATCAGTAAATTTTCTTTGAAAAAACAATTAGGGGAAATGAGACATGGGTTGCCCATCTCATTTTGTCAAGTTAGAAAGTGCTCATAAATAGGGCCTCCCCGGTGGCACAGCGGTTGAGCGTTGGGTTGCGAAGCTGCCCACGGCCTCTGTGGTGCCGGTTCGATCCCCGGCTGCTCCCCGGCCATCGGAGGAGGGTCCCACAGGGCGCGCAGACCTCTCCTGCCACCCACTGCTCCCCTCAGCAGTGTACTTCAGTCCTTCTGCCTGCTCTGCTCCCCGCTCTGGCTCTGGTGAATTCTCTCACCCTCCCGTGCTTCTGACTGTACCCAGTGCATGTATAAACAAAAAACAAACAAATAAATAATAAATAAATAAAAACATGCCTCTATAAAAAAAAAAAGTTAAAAAAAAAAAAAAGAAAGTGCTCATAAATATAGAACTGTTACAACAAATTGGGAATATATGTTTGTTATAGTCAATTAATATTTTTAATTAAACTAATTGGGATAATAATGAGGAACAGAGACAGGTTCTTTTTAAAAGCCCAAACTACCATTTATAAATCACCATCTTTTCATCAAGGAAATAATATTTTAGCACCACAAAAATGGGGAATTTTTAATCTCAGAATAAAGAACAGCTGTGTAAATTGAATCATCTTAGTTTTAAAGAAATGTGATATTAGTTTATCAAAATACATCTCAGTTTTCTGTAGACCAATGAATATTTTATCACGGACTTATGACCAAGAACCAATAATTGATCTGTGAGGTCACTTGTAACTCTAACATTCTGTGATTCTACAGGGCTCCTGGAATAACATTTACTGCAATATCCATTATGTTTCAAAGCCATTAGAACTCTAGCATAAAGTAAATAAGTTGTAATAATATCAGAACTCATGAAAAATCCATAGTAGTGCTATCCATGTGTAAACCAGTCCTACATAGGTTGTATCTATTTGCCCAGCGACACTTAAAAGTACAGGTTTTATTTTCTTCCTCCTTTCAGAGAAATGCTTAAGAAACAAGCTAATGGTATGATTCCCTTAGAACTTTCTCCAAAAAATGAGTGGTTACTGCTACTCTGCAGCTCAGTGATCTAAGAATTCACGTCTGACCCACTTTCCAGCAGCAACAAATCTCTAGGAGCCCAGATTTCTTCTGACTCTTATCATTAACCAAAAGCCCATGAGCAAGTCACTTAATTCTGAGTTCAGAGGGCCTTCCCCTCCTTTGGTCAATTAGAAATGCTTCCCCTGTACTGCTAGAAGTTCAGCCTAGGGGGAAGTCAGCCAGAATATTATC